ATCATAAATCTTAGGCTTGTAGGAGAGTAAGAATTAAACATAAGCAAAATGATGTGGTAAAACGAAAAGAAGAGCTGATGTGTTTGTCTGAAAGGATATGATTATATGTCTAGTCATTGAATTAGGGATATCCATTAAGCACCAAAAAGTAGTTTTATTTTCGATGATTTGGCTGAATGATGGCTCCGTGACAATATTCAAGAGATGCGTCCAAGCTGTTCTCTCACTACCTACCTAAGGGTGCGCTCACTACCTACCAATACGTACTATATTTTTGGTTCCGCTTGGTAGACGATATAATCACTAAATTAATAAAATTTTATCGTTTTTTTTGTGAAAGTCGTTATGTTAAGTATTTATTTTTTTTATTTTTTTACATATACATCGAATTTAGTATTTTTGAAAGATGGATTGGATATGGAAGAGAACGAAGATGTTGCTCAAAATCAACTTCATGATATGAATAGGTTTCGTCGTTTTTTGGTGTTGGGAAGTGAAACACCAACCTCCTATGTTGACGAAAAAACTTTAGGCTTAGAAAATAAGCAAGTCCTTTCCAATCTTTTGCAAGCAGGAAGAGGTGGTGAAGTTGTCAATGAAATAAAGAAGTATAGCATTGAAGGACGAACCGCAAGACAGCAGGCCATCATGTTTTCTCTCGCTGTTTGTGCGCGGAAGGGAGATCTTGCCACAAAAAGACAAGCATACAAGGCTTTAACCAAAATCTGTCAAATTTCGACTCATTTGTTTATGTTTATTGAGTTCTGCAAGGTGTTGAGTAAGCCTGGCAAAGGTTGGGGTCGTGCCCAAAGGAATGCAATAAAACGATGGTACAAAGAAAAAGATCCATGGAAACTGGCCATGGATCTCACCAAATATCAAAAGGTTAAAGGATGGTCACATAGGGATGTTGCAAGGTTAATTCATCTCAAGCCAGAAGAAACTGATGTTTCTGATGAGTTGTTTGTTATAATGAAATATGTTGTTTATGGCTGGCAGAAGCTTTTCGAATATTTCTTTCCTGAAGATAAGACAACTCCACATCGTCCAATTGGAGAGAATAGCATTGCAATGTTGGAGTTTTTTCGGGCAGTTGAAGAAGTAAAAACATTGCAAAAGGAGGCAAGAATGGTTGAACTGATAAATCAACATAATCTTGTTCGAGAACATATTCCAACACGTTGGTTTAATTCCAAAGAGGTAAAAACATTTCATTTTTCATTTCCTTTTTACATTTCTGAACTTTTAATCATCGCAGTGTTAACTTACTGGACTGATTTACAAATTTAGCTGATATTTTTTTCTTTTAAATTGAATGTGTAGAACAAACCTTTTTCTTGCAAACATGTTTAGGCAATCTTATGCCATCGTCAGTGCGAACAAAATAAATGAGCTATGTTACATAAATGTTGTATACTATACATGAAATTCGATAAGTTATTTACAGACAATAGAGATAAGTGTAGAGTTACAATCATTCTCAAGTAATTAATATATAAAAAGTGGATGATACGTGAAGTGAATGAACATTGAATATAAAATATATTTACAAACTAAAAAAGATGTTAACACGGTGAACCTGCTTATTAAGTTCAGATTTGACCTTCTTTAATTTTAATAGTGAGAGAGAAATTGTCAGCGCGAAGAACTGTAAAACAGGCGTCGTCATAATGTAATTTGCAATTAGGTGAGGATCGAAACTTAGGAAGTGTTTCAAGATGTGTGAATTTTTGTCGATAGAGGTGTGTTCTTTAATCCCGGAAGACATATGACGCATTGTTTTGCATTATATCATATTTTTGATTTTTTTTAAGTTTGCTTTCCTAACTTCTAACGTCATTGCTTATGTTAGTGATAATCATCATGTTTGACCCTTTGTTTGTACTACAACTATGGTATTCCATCAGTTTACTTAAATTAAATTTATAAATTGAAAATTCATTATACAATCATTGCAAAGTTTCTGAATCAATAATTGCCAATGACTGCAATGATACGTAACTTGAACAAAATGACTTCCATTGGCTTGCTTGCTGAAGGATCACCTCAAGTTAAATATGTTTGTTTTAAACTGCAAAACAAGGATCTGCTAAGAATTGCATGTATTCATCCGTTTAATATGTTATTAGCTTTGAAAACGTATCAGTCAGGGAAGGATGAGAAAGGTTCTCTAGAATGGAAAGCCAATGTAGAAATCACCAAAGCATTAGAGAAAGCATTTTATTTATCATTTAAGGTAGACAGAACACACAGTCAATTTTTGTGACACAATTTTCCTCTTTGCGAAAGATGTTATTTACATTATGTATCATGTGTACTGATTATATTCACATACAATTGTATGTGTTATAGATTACTTGATTTTTCTATACGAATTGTAAGTATTTTTTCTTGTGTGGTATATATATATATGGTATACATTATGAATCATTTGAGCTGGTCTTTTTCACATGTAAGTTGCATCTTCTGAAGTTCTCTGATGAGATGTAATTTCATGTGTTCTACTTTTTTTTGTCTTGCATTTTTCATGTTATTTTGTACAATTTTAGAATGTTGAACCAACAGGTAAAAGTTACATGCTAGCCATGGATGTAAGTGGCTCGATGCAAGGCGTTGGATGTATTGGTGCAAGCATAATGAAACCTCATGAGGCTTCTGCTGCAATGGCTATGATGACAGCACGAACAGAACAATATTGCAAATTTGTTGCATTTCGTCATAAAATAGTTCCGTTGAAGATCTCCAGTTACATGAATTTGGATGAAGTTTTGAAAAATTATAATGAAGTAAGTTGTTCAAAACACTTGAAAGATTTAAAGTATGTAGTGTAAAGCAAAAGATGTTATATTGTATTTTTCAGAAGCCAATGAACTACTCTGCAGAGTGTGCTCAACCCATGCTTTATGCCATTGACAAAAATTTGAAGATTGATGTCTTTATTGTTTACACAGACTCTGAAACATATTATGGCAATGTTCATCCAAGAGAGGCTCTCGCAAAATATCGTCAGCATTCAGGGATTCATGATGCCAAACTCATTGTGGTTGGCATGACATCAAAGGATTTCACTATTGCTGACCCAGATGATCCTGGAATGCTTGATATAGTTGGTTTTGACTCTGCTGCACCACAAGTGATGAGAGAGTTTGTCTTGGAGAATCTTTAGAAATTTTTAGTGAACATCTCTGTATTTTCTCTATAACAAACGTCCTCATTATGATATGACAAAAATTCATAATCTTTGATGGCTCAAGTTGAATGTTGCATGTGGTCGTCAAAGTTGCTTCGTGCATGTTTGCGGGCATGAATTTTGTAAAGGTCAATCGCCCCGTTATGATATTTTCCCTAAATAAAACTTTAGCAAAACACGGGAAAACTAAAAGCAGGATAGACAACAGTCTGGACTACATCCCGTGTTTTATTCATCTCTACAATGAACTTCATTAATTGTACCAAGTCAATTTGTCAATTTATCCATATTTCTCATGCCTTGCCTTGCAAAAGGCAATTTTTGCAATTATTCGCGAGTTATCAGTTATTTAATGATAAGCTTTTCGTCTTGAGAGAAGAATTTTTATCAAATTATTTTTATTTTGATGGCTATTTAAACTACAAATTAAACATAAATGCAGTAAACCAAGTCATTAATCTCATAATTTTGTCAACAACAACTCGCTCGTAATGCAACTCGTCTTTGCATGTTGTCAATCACATTTTTTCCTCATTTTTGATCGTTTAGCTCTACAAAAAAAATGGCTCCGGAGTCGGGAAGCTATGTGTGTTCGGAAACCTCCAATTTTTAGATTGTGAGCATTTTTTATAAGATTTGATAAAAAATGGAATACCTGGTTTGTACAGATGTGCCAACTTTTCAATGAGGATGACATGATGCAGTTAAACAAAAAAAGATCGAACTAAATATCAAAAAATTTATCACACTAGTTTAACTATTTTGAATTACCACATAGTTAGCATGGCACACACACAACTTTTCGAAGCCCATGCGTTTGAATGTATTGTTTTATATGCAAGTGTTTATTATATATTTCTGGGCTTTTTTTCTTGTTGTACCGACAGAAAATCCCAGACGAGAAGAGGTGTCTGCTCGAAATATCAAGGTGTAAGAAGAACCAAACCAAGTCAATGATATGCGCCTGAGAGTATTTTCCAAATATGTTGTTGTGAATCGATTTAATGCCATTTGTTCATGTTTTGTTCTCCAACTTTCTACACTAAGTTATTGGTTAAAAGAACGATTGTTGGCAATGCATTCAGCGGCTTTACCAGTCAATGTTACGCCTTTAAACATAAAAATATAATAACCATCGCCAGCAAGACTTCACTAAAGTGCATCCGTTATCAAAAGAAGGGTTGTCTAATTAGGATGTGGATATTATGTACATTGACATTACCAAGAAGGAAGATTTTCAGCATTTTGGTATAAATCGTATTGTATGATGCAAATGACAAGCTTTCAAAATTCGAACAGCTAGCGCACTGCAGGGCGTTCGTAGCAAGTAGAATGAGACTTACTTATTAAACTCAAGATTTGAACAAAGTTATTTTCCAGAATGCAGTCTATGTTTAAGGTTTTAGCAAGTTTGTAGATTCCGGGGACTCTGTAGCATGTGCATAAAAAATGAAGGAAGTCACGGTCCATTCCTATCTCGAAATACGTTTTTCTAAACAAAATTAAAATCGACTAAAACAGAACATCTCTCCTTGTACCTAGTGCATGGTATTTCATCTGTCGTTATATTTTATAACTGTTTGGGACTCTTCCAATTCATTGACTTGTTATCAATTAGGATCATGGGATTGAGACGAAAACTTCACGACCATAATTAAAGATAAGTTAGATGAGCCAGCTGGTAAACGCCGTTGAGTCTTCAGTGGTCTGGGGACAAGTAAGATGACTACATGAATCTTAATTTTTTTTAAATGGAAACATCGCTTTTAAATGTTGGTTAAATGTTGGCAATAATATAAATAAATATTTACGAAATGAACTTAAATGAAAATAGTTTTATAACCATTAAGCTTGTTAAGTAAAGGAGAAATACATTTTTATAGGTTTTATTATCTGTGGATTTTACAATGATTCACAGTTTGTTTATCATCAACCATTCAGGGTGAGTCGGAAGTGACAATATGTATTGGTTTTATATTTTTGTTGCTTACAAAGCTCTTCTGTTGGTTTTGTACGTATCAGCTTGTGATTATTGTGAGAAGTACTTTACAATTATTTGAATGAGGTAAAATGAGACTAGGTTCAGTAAGATATTAAAGGAAAGCTTGAACAATGTCAGAAGCCAGTGAATGTAGATTATGAGAAGTATCATGTGACATGATTAATACCCAGAAAAAATAAAGAATGTCATAAAAATCGTGAGATATTACCTGATATCTGTAATTTCCATAGTGTTGAAGTCAGTTAGATGATGCCATTTTGATGATTTCAGCTTCCTCAATTGTTTAGTTATCACAACTTTACACCAAATGGGTTACTGTGAGTCACTAGGTCATATGATGTTTTTCATGTACATTTAGGGATATATTTCTGGAAAAACATTGGAGAAATGTTTTGGGACGCTCTGTTTGTGATTATTTCTTCGAAGCTCAGGGAAAGGTAAATGAATTTATGTGTAAATTGTTGTTTGTGCTTGTTTGGTTCAGAAGTTTTAAGGTATTTTCATGAACGGTTTTCAGGCTACTTCTCCAGAAGACATTCCTCCTGTAATTGCAAAAGGATTCAGTTATCTCATCAGTATATTTCGCCATGATCTCTTCTTTGTTTCTGTTGTTGAAAATGAAGGTTTGTGTTTATATTAAGGTTAGTTAATGTTTTATTAATGTTTATTTTGAATCAATTACCTCTAGTCCAATCAAGAGATTGATTGCTAGTTTTAATTTAAAAAGTATGCATTACATTGCAAAGAAGTGTTATCACTCAACAAAAAGTATTGCATTAGGCACTCTTAGTGGTAGATAAAAATAATTTAGCCTTCATATCATCAACATGTGGTGAACACTTTCATGATTATTATTATTGATGAATTGAAAACATTCCTTTCCAGTTCCACCTTTGTTTGTGATTGAATTTCTTCATCGAGTGGTTGACTTGATCAAAGAATATTTCTCTAACTGTACTGAAACAATCATTAAAGAAAATTGTGTCATTGTATATGAGGTTTGAGATTAGTGTATTTCGTAGAGAATCCAGCAGTTAGATAGAAGAATTTCAATTTTTTTCTGTTTTGTGTGATGTAAAATATGATGTTATATCTTTATATTCTTCAGTTATTGGAAGAGATGTTGGATAATGGATTCCCTCTTGCTACAGAGTCAAATGTCCTTAAAGAGTTGATAAGACCTCCTAGTATAGTTAGAAATGTTGTTAATAAAGTGACTGGAGACAGCAAGTAAGAACCTTCCTTATAGTAAACATATGAGCCATGTTTTTATGTAGTGATCTTTATGTTGTTCATATAAGGATCAGATATAAATATAAAGCAAATCCGTAAAACCACTAAACATTTCTATATTTGCATTGTTTTTTATATGCAACTTACTACAATATTTAGTTAAATTTGTTTTAGTTTACACATTTATGATCATTCTACATATAATTTAAGTTTAATATTTCATATTTTCCTAGTATGAGCAGTCATCTCCCAACTGGTCAATTGTCCAATGATCCATGGAGGAGAACTGGTGTAAAATATGCAAATAATGAGGTACGTAGTTATATTCACATTGTTCCATTAAGAAATTTGAAAGAAAATCCTTTTTTATGCTTTGTTTTAGTTGTAATGTGATGAGTGAACTTTTTTCTTTTGTTAATTAGTTGTAATAAATATTGCTAATTAGTTGTTAGTTCTAATTATTCATAATTAGTTCCAATTAATTCTAATCATCACAAATTAGTCCTAAGTATTTCTAATTCTATTTATGTTATAAATTTATTTTAATGTAGCTGAAAGCATTGATGCCATCATTGATAAACAGGTAACAACATTATAATACTGTGGATTTCTTGTTTCATTTGTGGAAGATGTATGACAAAAATATGTTTGTTGTTTTTGTTTGATGTTAAATTAAAACTAAGGACATGTACGAACTGAAAACTTATGGCATGTTTAAATTCCTAAAATTTTCTGTTTTGTGTAGGCCTCCACCATATTTTCAGAAATACAAGGAACTGTAAGTGCCTTCCTTTTTTTATACTTTGTTATATGTACTCTCTAGTACAACATTTTAAAGATTTTTTTACCTTTTTTCAACTTTGTTCTTTCAGATTGACTGTAACTGTAAATTATCTAGCATGCCTGGTATATTTATGATACTTTCTTATATCTCTAGATTAAAATTGAATTTATCTGTAGATTAAAGATTTGTATTAATTATAGATCTCAACATGTGTTTTACAAATCCTCGTATCCTTGAAGATGTCAGTTTTCATGATGAAATTGTCTATTTTGATGGTATTTTTTGTTTTTTTTGTTTAGAGTAAATATGCTATCATTGTTTGCAAAGCCTCGTGTCTTGTTTCAAGAGGTTTATCAACTGTTGAAATTATTTTAAAATATTTGTTTTTTATTGATTGAAATAAATTAAAGTGTTTGATTTTTCTGCGTTTTAATTCGTACGACTGTTCATGATCGTCTTTTACTTGGTAGTTTCAGGGTGGAAGTGGAAGATTTGAATTGTCGATAAGTTCAAAACCAGTTATGGGTAAAAATGTATGTATTTATAATCATATCAATTTATTAAACTGCTGTTGCATCTTCTTGCATTTATAAACTTAAAGATATAACTTAAACTAGTCCATTTTTTTCATACGTATTATCTCAAAGCATTTTGTATAAAACTAAGTATATCGTCCTAACGTAATCATACCAAGTCAAATATTGTATACATTAACTTTTTCAAAGTCTTTTCACTCATTGTTTTCATATTTTATTTAGATCGAGAATGTTGTCGTGACTGTTCCATTTCCTAAACAAGTTCTCAACCTTAACTTGACTACAAACGGTAGAAACACTCATAAAATATTAAACATTACAGTCTGATGTTTCATTGCTTTTCATTGTCGTTTCCCATCAGCATTTATGTCTTGTGTTCCATGTTTTCAGTTGGTACCTATTCATTTGATCCAATCAAAAAAAAGCTTTCATGGGAGGTAGGTTCATGAGGAAATTGTCACGATCACGTGGTTATGTGAATCTAACGTTAGGTTAAACAATTTTAGATCAGTAGAATACAATCTCAGACATCGTCACCTAACATCAAAGGAAATGTAAGTAAAACTTGTTTTTTTTTAATTTTTGCCCGTCTCAGTTGATTTACAGACGTCTTGCCATGTTTTTCAAGAAAATATTTTCAAACTTTTTGCATGCAGAGCAAGATTTCCCTTCATAACATTTTTTGCTCACGAAGTAAAGTAAGGTCGATCCTTCCAGTAACCATTCCTTGGTCACAAAGTAAGGTCGATCTTCCCAGTAACCATTCTTTGGTCACAAAGTAAGGTCGATCTTTACAGGTTGCTATCACTGTAGTTATATTCTTAAATTGTATTCTCTTTTCTAATAATTGGTACTATCCCCCTTCCACTTTTGTATTCACCTATAAAGATCTGATTTCCTACCATAGTTAAACAACGTGGTGATGTGAGAATCGCTCTGTTCTTTTTATGTAACTGCTCTCGTTTCATTTCGTCTTATGTTACTTGTCGTCAAATTCTTGCTGTATGTTCGTTTTCTGTAGTTTACTGCTTCTTATCATAGTCTTTGTTTATTTTTTTGTTGTTTTTTTTTTATGAAAAGAATTAGTGCATATCTCCATAATCTTTTGATTTCTTTCCTTTTGTCTAATTTCCAATGTTTTTATTTCAGATATCTTTAAAAAGCGATGTTCCACCTTCGTAAGAAACACCAACTGAATTCGTAAGTGGTTTTTACTGAGTAACGTATATAAAACCAGTTATAATTGGATGATATACTAAAATAATTCCCAAACCAAACGTTCTCTATGATACAAAGTTAACATAACTTCCCTCAGACAGGATTTATTTATCAATACTCCTTAATCATAAACACGCAACAGCCTGCAACAGTACCATCATAAATTTGTAGAAACCTGTCTCCCTTTCGCCTTCTTTCATTGGTAGCATTCTTTTGTTTAGTTAAATTTCAAAATAAATTCATTTGCCGCTTTGGGATTGAAAGTCGGTAGACTGGATGTACATGGAGAGGTAGGGACAGTTTGCATGGTTTGTTCTGTATGTAGGGGTACAGTTTGCATGGTTTGATGTGTATGTAGGGGTACACTTTGCATGGTTTGTTGTGTATGTAGGGATACACTTTGCATGGTTTGATGTGTATGTAGGGGTACACTTTGCATGGTTTGATGTGTATGTAGGGGTACACTTTGCATGGTTTGATGTGTATGTAGGGGTACACTTTGCATGGTTTGTTGTACAAATTGGTGTTTATTTTGAGTCCAACTAATGTTATATGGTTTCTGATGTAATTTAGAACTACAAGCCATTAAAGGAGTCAAGACACAACAGCTGGACGGTATAAGATAAGAACATAAAATTTTGTTGAATAAAAGCACAACACAACATTTACGCATGGTTAACAATTCGCGAATCTCCTTCCTAATCATTCAATAGAACAAATTTGATTAGCTTTCGAAAAGATAATTCAAGTTGTTGTGTTTTTTTAAACATGTATGCATGCTTGACAAAAAAAATGTATCATCTACTGGGACTGCAGTGGCAACTGAACTTTGCCATGGAAGAAAAAAGCAAAGTTGTGAATGCAATCTTCAACTACATTGAATGATAAAAATACGTCAATGCAGCAATACTGTACAGGCAAAAAAGTTATGTTATATTGCAGCACGTTATATTCAGAGAAAAATTTCACTTGGAGCAACTGTGCAGTCACTGTGAGTGCATTGTACAATGTTAAAAAGGGAACCGTTCTAAATGTGGAAGGGAGGAAAAATCTGACTTGTTAAAGTTATTAGTAGTTTTTAGTACCAAATGGAAATCAAGCTTTAGAGAGTTTGTTTCCACTAGCTGAAAATTTTGTACATTTTGCCAAAAAATTTAGCATGGTTTGTTATTTAATATTGCTTGGATTCTTGTCATTTTTCTAGTGTTACATGGATGCTTGAAGCATATGGAGTTGCTCCTCCGAACAAGAATTTGGCATTACACTATTCAACGTGGCTTCAATTCTTTCCGTTTTTCTGGTGTTACTTGGGTACTTACAGCGTATGGATTTCCTAAACGTATGTAAAGTTTTGATTCTCGTTTATGATACATAGCGTTCCAAAGTCGTAATTGGGTATTGTTTCTAAGTTTGTAAGAGATTTTTCGATCAAAATTTTATCTGTTGTCAACATTTCTAATTATGTTCTTCCTGAAAATGAATTTCTGTCTGCGGAAACCGATCATTCAATATTATCAACTTGCTGCTTCATCCACAAAAAATGCTAAACGATCATACGGGGCTGTTGCATGGCAGTTTTGAATATCATATGACTTTTTCAATGTTTTATTGAATTTTTAATTTCAGGGAATTTGATTGGTAGTCTTGACGGTCGTTATGGATTTATCTGCGAGCATTGGCTCATAGATCCTGCCTATAGAGATTTTATCTCGTTTGAGAGGAATAAAGTTTTAGAGAAAAGTCGCATTAAAAAGTAAGTTTCCCAGTTAAATCGGAACATTAATTGTAATTTTGAGCATTTTTAGTAAAATTCAAAATATATCAGTGACACAATAAAATTGTAGTGAGCCTGTGGGAACATAAAATACTCGCGATTTGATATCATTTATATTAGTTTGTTAGTTTAATATGACAAAGAAGAACATACGTGAGTGTCTACACTGTAGTGACAAAACAGAACATACGTGAGTGTCTACACTGTAGTGACAAAACAGAACATACGTGAGTGTCTACACTGTAATGACAAAACAGAACATACGTGAGTGTCTACACTGTAGTGACAAAACAGAACATACGTGAGTGTCTACACTGTAGTGACAAAACAGAACATACGTGAGTGTCTACACTGTAGTGACAAAACAAAACATACGTGAGTGTCTACACTGTAGTGACAAAACAGAACATACGTGAGTGTCTACACTGTAGTGACAAAACAGAACATACGTGAGTGTCTACACTGTAGTGACAAAAAGAACATACGTGAGTGTCTACACTGTAGTGACAAAACAGAACATACGTGAGTGTCTACACTGTAGTGACAAAACAGAACATACGTGAGTGTCTACACTGTAGTGACAAAACAGAACATACGTGAGTGTCTACACTGTAGTGACAAAACAGAACATACGTGAGTGTCTACACTGTAGTGACAAAACAAAACATACGTGAGTGTCTACACTGTAGTGACAAAACAGAACATACGTGAGTGTCTACACTGTAGTGACAAAACAGAACATACGTGAGTGTCTACACTGTAGTGACAAAACAGAACATACGTGAGTGTCTACACTGTAATGACAAAACAGAACATACGTGAGTGTCTACACTGTAGTGACAAAACAAAACATACGTGAGTGTCTACATTGTAGTGACAAAACAGAACATACGTGAGTGTCTACACTGTAGTGACAAAACAGAACATACGTTAGTGTCTACACTGTAGTGACAAAGCACATGAAATACGAAAAAAACTGTAAAGTTTTTGAAACGTGAAGGAAGCGTCTTATTTTTTAGCAAGTTGCTATGCCCCAATTGTGTAACTTTGATCAGTTGTGTTTTAATTGTTTCTATGTATCGTATTTATGTTGAAATTATTTTAAAATATTTTTTTGATTGAAATAATTTAATTAAATTCAATTTTTTTGCATGCAGAGCAAGATCTCTCTTCACAACATTTTTTGCTCACGAAGTAAAGTAAGGTCGATCTTCCCAGTAACCATTCCTTGGTCAGAAAGTAAGGTCGATCTTCACAGGTTGCTATCACTGTAGTTATATTCTTAAATTGTATTCTCTTTTCTAATAATTGATACTACCCCCTTCCACTTTGGTATTCACGTTTAAAGATCTGATTTCTTACCATAATTAAACAACGTGCTGATGTGAGAATTGCTCTGATCTTTTTATGAAACTGCTCTCGTTTCATTTCGTCTTATGTTTCTTGTCGTCAAATTCTTGCTGTATGTTGGTTTTCTGTAGTTTACTGCTTCTTATCATAATCTTTGTTTATTTTATGAAAGAATGTTATATGCAGTGCGGTGTTTGAAATTAAATGAAGATATGCACTGCACCGGCACGTGTGGCACAAACCGAGGTCATGGGTTCGAATCCCGTTGAGTCACCTGAATTTTTTAGGTTCAAGAGACAATTGCTTAAATTTTCCAGCGAAGTGCGAAGATCATATCTTCATTTAACTTTGTTTATTTTCTTGGTTTTTTTATGAAAAGAATTAATGCATATCTCCATAATCTCTTCATTTCTTTCTTTTTGTCTAATTTCCAATGTTTATATTTCAGATATCTTTAAAAAGCGATGTTCGACCTTCGTAAGAAACACCAACTGGATTCGTAAGTGGTTTTTTACTGAGTAACGTATATAAAACCAGTTATAATTGGATGATATACTAAAATAATTCCCAAACCAAACGTTCTCTATGATACAAAGTTAACATAACTTCCCTCAGACATGATTTATTTATCAATACTCCTTAATCATAAACATGCAACAGCCTGCAACACTACCATCATAAATTTGTAGAAACCTGTCTCCCTTTCGCCTTCTTTCATCGGTAGCGTTCTTTTCTTTAGTTAAATTTCAAAACATATTCATTTGCAGCTTTGGGATTGAAAGTCGGTAGACTGGATGTACATGGGGAGGTAGGGACAGTTTGCATGGTTTGCTGTGTATGTAGGGGAACACTTTGCATGGTTTGATGTGTATGTAGGGGTACACTTTGCATGGTTTGTTGTGTATGTAGGGGTACACTGTGCATGGTTTGTTGTGTATGTAGGGTACACTTTGCATGGTTTGTTGTGTATGTAAGGGTACACTTTGCATGGTTTGATGTGTATGTAGGGGTACACTTTGCATAGTTTGTTGTGTATGTAGGGGTACACTTTGCATGGTTTGTTGTGTATGTAGGGTACACTTTGCATGGTTTGTTGTGTATGTTGGGGTACACTTTGCATGGTTTGTTGTGTATGTAGGGGTACACTTTGCATGGTTTGATGTGTATGTTGGGGTACACTTTGCATGGTTTGTTGTAAAAATTGGTGTTCATTTTAATCTTGAACAGATGACTTGAGTCCAACTAATGTTATATGGTTTCTGATGTAATTTAGAACTACAAGCTATGAAAGGAGTCAAGACACAACAGCTTGACGGTATAAGATAAGAACATAAAATTTTGTTGAATGAAACACAACACAACATTTACGCATGGTTACCAATTCGCGAATCTCCTTCCTAATCCTTCGACAGAACAAGTTTTGATTAGCTTTCGAAAAGATAATTCAAGTTGTTGTGTATTTTTTCAACATGTATACATGTTTGACAAAAAATGTATCGTCTACTGTGACTGCAGTGGCAATTGAACTTTACCATGGAAGAAAAAAGCAAAGTTTTGAATGCAATCTTCAACGATGTTGAACGATAAAATTGCGTCAATGCAGCAATACTGTACACGCAAAAAAGTTATGTTATATTGCATAACGTTATATTCAGAGAAAAATTTCACCTGGAGCAACTGTGCAGTCACTGAGTGCAGTGTACAATGTTAAAAAAGGGAACCGTTCTAAATGTAGAAGGGAGGAAAAATCTGACTTGTTAAAGTTATTTGTAATTTTTAGTACCAAATGGGAATCTAGTTTTAGAGAGTTTGTTTCCACTAGCTGAAAATTTTGTACATTTTTCCAAAAAATTTAGCATGGTTTGGATTCTTGTTATTTTTCTAGTGTTACATGGATGCTTTAAGCATATAGAGTTGCTGGTCCGAACAAGAAATTGGCATTACACTATTCAACGTGGCTTCAATTCTTTCCGTTTTTCTGGTGTTACTTGGGTACTTAGAGCGTATGAATTTCCTAAACGTATGTAAAGTTTTGATTCTCGTTTATGATACATAGCGTTCCCAAGTCGCAATTGGGTATTATTTCTAAGTTTGAAAGAGATTTTTCGATCGAATTTTATCTGTTGTCAACATTTCTAATTATGTTCTTCCTGAAAATGAATTTCTGTCTGCGGAAACCGATCATTCAGTTTATCAACTTGTTGTTTCATCCACAAAAAATACTAAACGATCATACGAGGCTGCTGCACGGCAGTTTTGAATATCGTATGATTTTTACAATGTTTTATTGAATTGTTAATTTCAGGGAATTTGATTGGTAGTCTTGACGGTCATTATGGATTTACCTGCAAACATTGGCTCATAGGTCCTGCCAATAGAGATTTTATCTCGTTTGAGAGGAAGAGAGTTATAGAGAAAAGTCGCATTAAAAAGTAAGTTTTCCAGTTAAATCGCAACATTAATTGTAGTTTTAAACATTTTTAGAAAAATTCAAAATACATCAATGACACAATGAAATTTTAGTGAGCCTGTGGGAATATAAAATACTCGCGATTTGATATCATTTATATTAGTTTGTTAGTTTAATATGACAAAACAGAACATACGTGAGTGTCTACACTGTAGTGACAAAGCACATGAAATACGAAAAAAACTGTAAAGTTTTTGAAACGTGAAGGAAGCGTCTTATTTTTTAGCAAGTTTCTATGCCCCAATTGTGTAACTTTGATCAGTTGTGTTTTAATTGTTTCTATATATCGTATTTACTCATACTTTTTTCTTAAATTAATATTTTATCGCTATAATAATCATATAGGAGTCGTAGTTGACATCAAAAAGTGCATTTTAAATTTTCTACCATTGTAAGAGTTCTAAATTTGTATTTTTGTGGTTTGTGTCACGTGCAATGTTTACCGCCAACCAACTACCAAAGTTAAAAGCTAACACTGGTATTATCCATTTTCGCCCATTTTAATGTACAACAGTATTTATTCATTTTCAGCAGTTTTAAAAGACAATTTCAAAAATTGTGATTGTCTCAGCAACCAAATGTTTTTAATGCTTTTCCTCTCTCACTTGACTCGCGTTTCTGGAACTATTACTGTTATCGCACGCTAGTCGTGTTCACTCCTGCCCTTTAAAATGAGCAGGACAGCCCATCTAAATACTTGAAATAGACTGCGCTTCTATCGAATAATATTCCGGTGCCTACTTCTTATTGGCATTTTAATACTTAGTTAGTACGACTTTTTCTGGTTAGTACTGCCATTTGAAATCAGTTGACCACCGACTAACGCTTGTAAGTGTAAAGTAATCACTAAAAAATACTACGTTTTGTCTGTGCTATTTATTTTTATAAAATATTTTACAGTGGTTTATTAGCAAGTAACTGTAAAAGATCCTATGTCACTATTCATTTCCTATAAAAAACACATAATAACCAGCTGCTGACAAAACATATCTCATATTTCACATCCAAATTTTCGTTGATTTGTTGAACATCCGAATATGTTTAAAGTATTTAGCATGTATTTTTTCTTTTTCTAAATACCATTGTTAAAAAAATCTGCGATGCAGGTATAGTACTCTAACCATCTGAGCTATGAAGTCACACAGTGGAGAGCAGGTCAATATATTGGGCTCATGTTTTCCCGTGAAAGGAATGTCGTATGCAAGAATGTTATATACACTGTACCGGCATCGCAGAGGTCATGGGTTCGAATCCCGTTGAGTCACCTGAATTTTTCAGGTTCTTCAGACAATTGTTTAAATTGTCCAGCAAAGTGCGAAGATCATATCTACATTTAATTTCAAACACCGCACTGCATATAACATTCTTAAAAATGTCTAATAGAAAACGAAGTGCCTGTACATATCAAATGTACATTTCATCACCTTTATGAATGGTGCAAAATTTAACACGACGTTCTTCATGTTTATAGTGCATTAAACCTATTTTTACTGGTATTTGTGCAAGTTTGCAGAGTAACCACAAATTTTGCAAAAGATTAGAAAGAATTGTATTGGCCAGTATATCTTTGATATTTGGCGCTTGCAAATATATTTTAATGTTACAAGGAAGAATTGCTTTTAACATCTAACTAATAATTGATAATAATAGTCAATAAAGTAAATGGTTTGAACCCGGGAGTATCGTAACATGTTTGTAGATGTAGATCGTCCAGGTTATACTATTTACTAGTGTCTTTTGATGTGAAATAAACTGTTTACCAGTATTACGAGTATAGTCTGAAGAGGTTTTTCATTTGTCTTACCGTTGGTTAGTCTAATTCGTTTGATTTGTTACAATACTGTTCAAAATTTCTTTTTTATCAACTAAAAATATCTAATAGAAAACGAAGTTCCTGTACATATCTTCTGTACATTTCATCACCTTGATGAATGGTCCAAAATTTAACATGACGTCGTTCATAATATTTTGCTGGATGTACATACCATAAAAATCGTGATATCGTACACACATAAAAATATAGAAGCTCTCTGCTTTGCTTGCAGCAATTATTTGTAAACATTTTTTTAAACTGCAGTAAGAGTTGGAGTTTTTGGTTAACATAATGTACCATTTCATAATAAAAATTTATAAACTAAATAACAAATAGTAAAATTGATAGAAAAGTTTACAAAGTTAGTCAGAATTGCTGCAGTACATAACACATCTTCCTTTCTCTGCTAACAACAGTGAAATTATTGAAATAGCATAATATTTGAAAGCATTTATTCGTTCTAAAAATTAGGAACTGAGCACTCTAGCTACATGCCGTTAAAGTAACTAAAAAGCACAGCGTCTTCAATATCTTGAAAGTATGTTATAACTTATAACGAACTAATGATTCTTACTGTTAAAATGTATGAGAAAATTTTCTTTTCTGTTTTGTGTTCCTGCGTTCTAAACAAAGTTTGAAAACATCTCATGTTAAGCTTTTTTGCATCGGGATTCTAGTTTTTTCTATTCCGACAGTAATACTTGTAAATTTTCCATATATTTATTTACACTACGCAGCGCGCTGCGTTAACACTCAAAAAAATCTTTTTATTAGTGTACTTCCTGCTGTGATCTTTTTAAATAGACTATATTGCAAAACAGGTATTCGACACAGTTTGATGGTTATAATCTGAGGCGTACAAAAACAACGACAATATCAAAGTTTGTCATCTTGTTAAACACTCAAAGCTCGTCAAATTGATTGTAAGTTTTTCAGACTAAGTTGTATTGTATTATATACACTAGAATATTAAGTGCTAGCTACACGTCAAGATGTTACTGAGTTGAATATAAGTAAAATGTTTAATGAAATATTTCATCTTCTTTCTATATGTCGTAGTTGCCTTCAATCTTTGAACCATCTACATCATTAGCGGTGGAGATATTTTCCGCCAAAAACGTAGGTAAATCAGAAAAAAATGTGGAAGCGATAAACATACAGAGTAAAACGTTTCTATAGACTTTAAGGTTTTCACTGATATTACCACCATTAATAAAGTTATGCGTCTATGGAAATCTTACAACATGGTTATTTACAAGTTTAGATTATTAACGTTTCTGCTTGGGTCGGTCTCATTCATTTTTTCTCAGGTTAAAGCTAAAGGCGACAGTATAAATATATACTAATGGGCGGAAGTTGACACGCAAGCAATTTTTTTCACGCTGATTGTATACTGCTCTTAAATTGGACCAAATATTTTGTATTGGTTGATTCAGAAGTTTGGTTTAGTGAACAGTAATTTACTTTGCATTTAGGCTAGAAATTAATATGATTCGTCAAGAAATTAAAAGATGTTAAATCAAAGATGGTATATTTATCAAATTTTGAAGGTTCTGGAATAGTTTACCTACAGAATGAAATAAATAAAGATAAGCAAGTGTTTGAAGGAAATAAGTCGTTTTAAATGGTCATTGAAAGTTAAAACGCCTTCTTTTAATAATTGTATGTAGGGCATTAAATCAATTTTTACTGATATTTGTGCAAATTTGAAGAGTAACCACAAATTTTGCGAAATTTCTGTGTGCAAAAGATTAGAAAGAATTGTATTGGCCAGTATATCTTTGATATTTGGCGCATGCAAATATATTTTAATGTTACAATAAAGAAATTGCTTTTAACATCTAACTAATAAGTGATAGTAATAGTCAAATTAAACAGGTAAATTTCCCAAAATTAACTAGACAACAGAGTTGGAAAGTTCTACAGAGGCAAGTAGAAGCAATATGGAACCAACAACTGAGAGCTCAGATAAATCTGTGCATTATAAGAAGAAATCAAACTCATACAGCAGTCAAGCAGAAGCTATGTCATTTTTTGAAGAAGGAGATTTAAGTATGTATAATGGTGATTATGGAACAGCAATTGAAAACTACAAAAGATGTTTGGAAAATGCCGACAAGAATAACGTTAAAATGATGGTTTATTTTGGTCTTGGTAATGCTTACACCCTCTGTGATAATTGGGAGGAAGGATTGAACAGTTTTAATCATTGCTTAAAGTTTTCGTCTACAGTTGAAAGTGAATATTTTGAACATCAAGTATACCTTGGCCTGGGGAGTGTTCATTCTACCATTAAAAGATTGGAGGACGCAATGAAGAAAGATAAAATGGAATATCTCTGCCATATTGCATTAGGAGGATTGAATAAGTTGCTTGGAAATTATGAGCAATCTTTGGAGCATAATAGAAAAGGATTCTCTCTTATTGAATCTCAACAGCAACAACATGAACAGCATCATCGACCACAACGACAAAGAAAAGTTGGTGGTATCAACGTTAGTAAAGATTTCGTCAACCTTAACATGAAGAACTTGTCAATTGTTACTTCAGCTGGAATTGTGAATGGAGTGTTGGCTGTTTTATGGGAACTAGCGGAGTTGTTTGATAAACTTGAACAATGGGGAGATGCAACATTTATATATGAAACATATCTGGAGATGGTCACAAAAGATAAAAATATAGAAAAACAAAAGAACGTCATGGAGCGTCTGGTGCAAATATACGATGAAGAAGAGCGTTATTACTTAAGAAAGTCGATGGAAGCCAAGTTACAAGAAATCATTAAGAAAAAGAACGAAAAAGGTAGAGAGTTTACACTAATGAGAAAGCTTTTTAGTAATCTGTTCATTGGTTGTTTCCGTTTTACTTAACCTTAATTTTATACTTTTATCATTTTATTAATTGCTGTCATCAGAGTGAGAATACATTGGTGAATCTGTTAAACATAAAGAATTGTTCTTAAAATTGATTAAGTATGGACGAAATCCCAATGTCGAGGTCAAGCATGTAGACAATGTACGTGTGATAATCTCTGAGGAGTTTTGCATCGGTAGAGGAAGTGATGGAACCCGTGTTTATCTGGGACTTAAAAAGGATGGTTACGGCAGAGCAGTGAAACGAATACGTCGAGATAACTGCATCACTATTGCCCAGAAAGAAAAGGAAATCTTGAACAAATTCAACGCAAAAGAGTCGAAATATGTTGTGAATTATTACTACTTAGAAGAGGACACTGGAACAGACTATGTCTATTTGATACTAGACCTATGTGAAGAATCGTTGGAGAGTTTTGTGGAATCTTCTACGTTGTATGATCTTCAAAAATCTCTTCCCGAAATTCTCAGACAAATGTTAAAAGGATTAGCTGATCTTCACTGCGACCCACGTCCTATTCTACATCGGGATTTAAAGCCTTCCAATGTTCTCCGAGACGCACATAGTAAATTTCTGATTGCTGACTTTGGTATAAGTCGAGAATTGAAGGGTGGCCTTAAGACATATCATACTAGCTCTAAAAAGGGAAGTCAGGATTGGATTGCTCCTGAATCATATTGTAAAGATGAAGATTCAGTTGATAAAGCACGTTACACGTTACAAAAAAGAGTCAGATGTAATGGTAGGTGTAGAAATAAATCCTTTAGTAAATGACACATAAATTAAATTTTTAACAATTTATTCACGCTATTCTGTTTGATCTATTTAGAACGCAGGAATGTTGGCTTATTATGTTGCAACAAAAGGGAAGCATCCTTTTGGAACTGAAGACTGTAGACTACAAAACTTGTTAGATGGAAATCATGTTGGCTTGTATGAAATAAAGGATGCTGCTTTCCTAGACCTTTTGTTATGGATGCTACAACTAAAACCAGAAGACAGGCCATCAGCCAACGAGGCGTTAAAACATCCTTATTTACAATCCGATAAGGAGAAGTTTGACATGCTGTGTGATGTTGGGAACCAACCAGAGATAAAACCATCGAAAGGTCAAAATTCGCATGTTCGTAAACAGTTGGATTGTCATTCAAATTGGATGGAGCTTATCGATGATGAAGTATTAGAAGATTTCAAAACCTTTAAAACAAATGGCAAAAAGAAAACTTTGACTTACAAGCCTACATGGGCAAGTTGTTTAAGATTTATACGAAACGTTGGCCAGCATTGGAAGGATAAGCCTCGTCCACATCTATCGCCATATGTCAAAGAAGGAAACTATAAAAAGTACTTTTTGCAACATTTTCCCGATCTTTCTCTTCGTGTGCATAAAATCATAAGGTCAACTGACTGGAAAACAAGAACTGATCTCGAGGAACATTTTACCTGTAAGCCATAAACATAATTTTCCTTTTTCAAAGACATTACTGAAATAGGCTTCCATGATGATATATATCCCCGATTTAATTTTGATGCTCATTCAGTCTTTTTAGGTAAATTAACAAATTTGGCTATAAAAAAATTGTTTTCTTACTCTGCCAACTCTCTTTTTTGGTTGTATTTTTATTCAGCGTGTTTTTAACACTCTATAATGTTTTTCTCTCTCGACTTTCTACACTTTAAGCTGTACATAATAGTGACGATACCGTTGTAAAAATTTTTCAGATACTGTGGATCATGTGAAAATTGAAGAAGTTAGTGTAAAGAAAAGCAAAGACGTCATGGACAATGTATATCTTGACGGTAAATAAAGTTACAACAAACTAATGCTCACTGGAAGTTAATCACTCTCAAAATATAACTCTTGTCTACGACTTAGCATATATTGTTTTAGGAATTGGTAAAATGATTTAATTGATGCGAATCCACTTTGTAACAGTAAATAAAAGTCGATTATTCTAATAAGAAGGGTTACTGTTTTTTTCTAATACACGTCTAGCCTCACTTACGCGTTTCCCTCTGGTGAACGCCCCTTCCAAATTTGGTTTTTATTAGAGTAATTCCATGAAAATAAAAAAATATAAAATATTCAACAATCCTATAGATAAATAAGCAACAAATGTTTATTTGGAGAATTTTATATGGTGCCTTCCTGATGTCCATCTAGTCATTTTATTTTTTATACTAGCAAGAGTCGTGTAGGTTAGTCCTGTTTTTACGAGCTTCGTGCAAAGGTCTGAATGTAAGAGTGAGTAGCAATCTAGGAGGTCAGGGGGTGTATTGACTAATCATAACATCCTGCATGATAAATGTATAGCGTTTGTCAGTTTTTTCGAGTGACTTTCATTCGTTATGAAGGTTGAATTACTTTTCAAGATAGAGAAAACTATCAAAACGTGTCGTAGGGTAAGCGATAGGCAAAAGTTAAGACTTGCCAAAAAAGTTAAGATTTTTTGTTTATGTCTAAGCGACAAACAAATGATGATTTATCCTTCTTTCGAATAACATTTTTCTTGAGAAAATCAATGTAAGCTATATTGTTGAATTCAACTGAAACCTAGAACCCTTCACTTGCATCTGTTGCACTTTGTATTTTTTTGGTAGTCAAATTGATTTTATTACGGTCTGGTACTAATGATAGTTGTCGATATTAACGTTTATGCAAAGTAGCTAATAACTTTTCGTTTAGTTACAAAAACCGGTCTTAGTTTTTGTTTTTCCATTTTGCAAAACAATGCCCTCATGATATGAGTAAAAGACCTGGGTGAGATTTCCCGTGTAAGAGCTTTTTAAAGCCATTCTTATCAGAACTCATTGTTTAAATAAGTGGTCGTAATATGTTTATTTGTTGTTTTTGTAAGTTATTTTTAACAAATTGTACCTGCTATCTGAATCGTTGGTGCAGTAGGGAAACTCGACCACTGCTATTTATTTATTATTTGACTATTCAGCTACAATATATTACTCTCTGTATATAAATGGAATACTTTTACTTCTATTTCAGAATTGCAGCTGCGTGAATGGAAATACAATGATAAATCGACAAAACATAAGGAATTGTTTTTAAAATTAATCGAGTATGGGAAAGACCCTAATGTTGAGGTTAAACATGTGGACGATGTACGTGTAATTTTCTCAGAAGAGTTTTTACTTGGCAAAGGAAGTGATGGAACCCGTGTTTATCTTGGACTGGGAAAGGATGGTTACGGTAAAGCAGTGAAACGAATTCTTCGTGATACTTATTTGGCAGAGCATGAAGAAAAAATTTTTAATGAAATCAGTGCTAAGAAGTCAGATTATGTGCTAAATTATTATTGCTCGAGACAAGATACAGGAACAGAATATGTCCATTTGATTCTCGATCTATGTGAAGAATCGTTGGAGCGTTTTGTGCTATCCGAATCAAATAGTTTAGATTATCTTCAAAAATCCCTTCCCAACATTTTCAAGCAAATATTGAACGGCTTAGTTGATCTTCACAGCGATCCACGTCCCATTCTTCATCGAGATTTGAAACCTTCCAATGTTCTCCGAGACACACAAGGCAAATTTTTGATAGCCGATTTTGGTATTAGTCGAATTATGAAGAATGGCTCTCAGACAAATGTAAGCGATGCTAATAGGGGAACTCCGCATTGGATTGCCCCTGAATCTTATATTGTTGATGAAAATCTAATTGATAAAGCACGTTACAAAACAAAGTCTGATGTAATGGTAGGTATTGGGTTGTTACTATTTGCAAATTGTACGTAAATTTAATTTTTACATTTTACGTACTCTGTTATGTTTAATTTATTTTAGAATGCAGGAATGGTGGCTTACTTTGTTGCAACAAAAGGAAAACATCCTTTTGGTACTAAAGAGTGCATACTTCAAAATTTGTTGAAAGGAAAACCTGTTGGCTTGAAGGAAATCAGTAATGTCGAACTAAATGATCTTCTTTCATGGATGCTACAACATAAACCCGAACTCAGGCCATCTGCAAAGGAGGCGTTAAAACACCCTTATCTACTATCTGATGAAGAAAAGTTTGAGTTGCTGTGTAAAGTTAGGAATCAACCGGAGATAAAGATACCGATACATTTAGATCATCCTCTCAGCTATGATGTCCATGAGCAGTTAAATGGGTTAAAAAATTGGAAGGATCATATTGATCTTGAAGTCTTCAGTAATTTCAATGTGGGACACTACGATGCTACATGGTTAGGTTGCTTGAATTTTATACAAAATGTTTACCAGCAATGGAAGGATGAGCATCGTACAAAACTGTCACCATATATCAAGAAAGGCAACTATAAAGAGTATTTTGTACGGGTTTTACCAGAGCTTCCTCTTCTGGTGCACAGAATCATGAGGTTAAATGAATGGGTCCTAAGACCTGATATGGAAAAACGTGTTCCTAGTAAGTTACAGCCATAGATATAATTCTTTAGTTTTAACGATATTGCTAAATTACATACATTTTCCCTTGGTAACGTCGGAACATAATAGGGTTTTTACTTGTTTGCAAAAGCAATTTTTTCTCAGGAATCGTAAAAATACTCTCTTTCCTTATAAATTCTTTGCATTGTTTGTCCAGAGCACTTGTAGCGCTTCTGTTTCTCCAGTTCAAAAAATGCAAAGTATAGCATATGCAGCCGAGAAATCTGTTTAGGTTTTTTTATGCAATTGATTTATGTAAATGGTAAATCCATTCCTTCATTCATGTGCAATTTTGTCACGCACGTGATCTCGCGTGACTTTCACGTATGTAATATGAGTCAAAAATATAAAACTGTTAAAGGTTAAGACTATACATACGTGGAGTCATAGGTGATCTTGCGCGTGATAAACATTTCACATGAATATAACATCCAGTTTAGGTAATAAATGAAGACGAATGATCAAAAAAACGAAAAGCTTGATTCAACGTATGAGAAGGAAAGCATATTTCTAGCTATACTTATACACAGAAGAAGTTTTGACTGACTCTAACTTTTGATGACTTTCTAAAAACTGCTCTAACTATCGCGATTACGAAAAATGATCTCAAGTATCAAGTTTAGAGCTATCAACGATCCATTTTTAATCAAACTGCTGCCGCACGTTCCTATAACTTTGCCTTGATAAGAAACTACCCATTTTGATTTCAGATAAGAATACAATACTCAAATTGTTCACCAAGTGAATACCTTCACACGTAAAAATTTAGTGCACACACATTAAAAGACAAACCAGTATAGCGATGGTTAATTCGCCTGCATGCTGATCGATCGCTTTTGCTAGCAGTGGCGTAGCTAGCGGTCCCGCCCGGCGAGAGTAGAAATTTCTCAAAAAATAATAAATATTCTATTTGCAGATGAGATAAATATTATATCACAAACAATTTGCAATATCATGTTTTATTCGTTCATTTTCACGCTTTTTTGGTGGTTCGTAATCGTAATACCGCAAAATCTTAAGATTTGTCTTGTAACCTAGCAACTGCCTTTTCTCGTACATTTCAATGTATACTTGCGCGATTTCTCCACGTATTCCGCCAATCTTCGCATACTTTTGCTAACGGTCAAAAATGTGAGATATAATGAAGAGTGAAATAACTCAGCAAGTATTCATTTTATCGTGCTGTATTAACCGATGATGTATTAACCGTGTTATGTAATACATTAATTTCCAGCTTCTTACGAAAAGATATCTTTGCCATCTCCCATGAGTGACAACGACTATGACGACATTGACAAAACTCCTTCTTCAGCAATACTTGGTAAAAAATTGTATTTTGTTAGCAAACATTTGCACAAACATCTTTACATTCCCTTTAAAAGTCAAACACAAACAATTAAGAGTCGTTTATATCATGCGTATCATTCATACGTTTGTAAAGGGTCAGATAAGAGAGTTTTAGAATTTGTTATCATACTGTAATGTTATTTAATTGCATTGCAAGAAATTAATTTCATTTATCTATTAGATGATAACAACAGTAAAGTCATCATTGGTGTTTCGCCTTCCACATCAAAACTTGATAAGCAAAAGGATTTTGTTAGCAAACATTTGCCCAAACATTTCCATGTTTTTCAACGCTAAATACAAACAATAATTTATAACCTAATAAATTAATTTTAAAAGGTATCGTTATATGTAGCCAACTAAAATTTTTTAATTTAAAAATAATTCAAATGTTGTGGATCAAAATCATGTAAAAATTTTAAAGTTTGTAAACATAGAAATTTCAAATGATCAATATGTATAGAAAGTGGCAACTTGTTATGATGCTAAAAGTAAATTGTGAAAACCATCATGATCAACGTGTCAGCTACATGTATAAGTTACACGTACACAAATGAACTAAAATAGAATATTGTTGAAAACATCCTTTTAAAATATATTATTTGATTATTGATAGACAATAAAAGCCAATAATTATGTTTACGAATACATAGTTTCATTTAGCCTTTAGTTCGTAGCTAGATGCCCTGATGTTGGATCTAAGTTATCCGTTTCCTTTAACTTTTTTTGTGACAGATAACTGTTCCAAGAGATATTTATGATGTGTTATGAAAAAGTAAATTATTAATTTTACGGAAAAACTTGCAATAAAACCCACGTTGTCATTTTTCCACCCAAAAGATTAGAAACCACAAAGTAAGGTAGTTCAACTCACTGGTTCAACTCTCTCTTTGCAAACACACGGTATTAGCATAACCATGCATGCAATATTTGCAAGACCGAATAACATACAATAAATGGTTACGTAAATGCAAATTCTAAATAAATTATGGCTCGCTGAAAGGTTTGAGGGGGAGTGTTCTACGTCCTGGGACCAGCTTTATTGTGTCTTAATTGGATCAAATATCCCAAAATTTTAGTCAGACCGACATTTTTCGCCTTTTATCCGTTTCTGGACGGACTTTTTATTCATATTTTACAAAAGCTGGGTAGTGTAACATGTGATATACACGTTTATTTTCTTTATCATGTGTTTAGATGCAGAAGATAATTTGGATGAACACATTAAAATCTTCAAAAGTAAATTTCTTGACAAACGCAGTAACATTAAAGCTGACGTGTGTGATGTACTTGAAAGGTGAAATACTCTAAATGTAGTTCTTGGAGAAATTCAACTTGAATTTTCAGTATTACAAAAGCGAATTTTTATCTTGATATGAGCTTAAACATTTGTTTTAAGCTTCACGTGGCTACGTGGAGAGTATGGAACAGCTGGCCCAAACGAGAAGATGCCATTTCCTCACTTATATGTCATGGTTGATGATAGTCAAGAAAAATCGAATGAAATTATAAAGCAAGAGATTGATGGAAAATTTGGATGGGAAGCTTCGAAATATATTGATTTGCCACGCAAAGCTCCTAAAAAAGCAAATTTTCGATTGCTGTCTGATTTTCGCGCTGCAAGAAAGGATCAAAATGACGTAGGATCTCGTGGTACATTGACAATCATTTGTCGAAAGGAAGAACGGTATTTTGCTTTAACTTGCGCACATGTTGGTGTTGATAGTGACTTTGCTGACTGCCAAGGCGTGTTCAATCGCGAAGACTGGTTGAAAATTCGCGATGCTGTGAATTCTAATTTCATGAAATATAACATGGTTTACTTTTACAAACCTTCTCACAAGGACAGTGAGGTGCAACTTGGCCATGACCGCAACGACGCGGTTTGCGGTTCGATGAAGAAACAGACATCATGTGTATTTCTGTTGGTAAAACAGTTTTCAACAGGTGCCTTGGAAAATACATGAAAAGTTTTCAATTAAGTTTAGAAAATGCAGATGACGAACTTTTTCGACGAGTTGTTCAGAAAAATGAATGCGTCGACGCACGCATTACTGTGAACAACAAATCCAAGCATAGCAAGATCACAGGGTACAATTATTGTTATTGGTCCCAATATTTAAAAAGATCTATATTTAGAAATGCAGTCAAGGTTCAAAGTGATGTGTCATTTTTTGAGAACGGTGACTCTGGTGCTCTTGTTTGCTTTTTGGATGAAAATGATAATTGGAAACCGTTTGGGTATGCTGTTGCTGAAGTCGAAGGAGATGGCAATAAAAATGGTAGTGAGAGTAATGAAGATGGTAGTGAGAGTAATGAAGATGGAAGTGAGAGTAATGAAGATGGTAGTGAGAGTAATGATAGTGATTGTGAGGTTTGTTTTGCCAAACCTGCGAGGACTTTTATTTGCTTTAAATTGGACAAAGCTTTGGAAGAACTGAACCTTGAGAATGGTGAATATTTTGGAAGAAATGGTAAGATGCTATGTTAATGTTATTGTTGTATAATATGTTCCTAAACGTTAAGGCTTACATTACATTTAATGTTTTAGATTCGACAGGTATCGTTAAGTCGACCCTTCGTTTTCTAAATATGGGGAAATAATATCTTCCCGGAATTTTCAAAAAATGACCCTGAGGGTGCTCTTATTTTGGAGTTCAATGAGCTAACTTTATTGAACGTAATCAATTTTAATTAGCACTAATGACAAAATTAATGTAAACTATGATTAATTTAGAAGTCACGATTCCACCACAATGGTGAATCCAGTATTGGGCAGTAAATCACAACACCTCACTTTTGGATTATTTTAAAATTTCAAACTATTTACTTGTAATTAGATTAGCAGGACATAACTGATTCTTTTGAAATACTTATGATCGATTACATTGTTATAAAAAATGTAATATGTATCAAAGCTACAATTTATTTTCCAGCTCTTCTTTTACATTCACACGATCTACGAACACTACATACGCACAACAGCTACGGCCCAAACTTTAACTGGTACAAGTTGGGGGTCCGCGGACAAATTTAACTAGGTGGCTAAATTTCTAGGGTAGTATGGGTTACAGCTCCACAGCTCCCCCTGTTCTGCGGTCCCTGCACAAGACTCATGGCACAATGTACCTAAGTTATCATTCTAGTATTTATAATTCATAAATCGATAATTTATGATTTCTCAGGCGTGGAAACCTATTTAGTTTTCGTCTGAAACTCAATGTTGTAACGTAGTCGTACTGACTCGTACAAAAGAATGCTAAAATCACAAATTTCGAACTGGCAACTAACTTTTATCGATAGAAAACTTTACGAATTTTCGTCGAAGTCACAAAAACTATTTGTTCAAGTTGATGGGAGTGTGTTCCTTTTTTTAATACTTTTTATTGTCTACTTTTGCTAAACGCTATAAATCTTGTAATCTCAGTTGCTGCCTAAAAAATTTACCTTCAACTTAGTTTCAACTTTCACAAGATGCACCATAACAGAAGCACTTTGATTCTGGGGCTCTGGCTTGGCATTTGTCAGACAATAATTATATACATATGATTATTACATAACTGAGGTATGTTGACCAATAATTTCATGTTTTAGCTCAGGTATTATTAAGCACGTCAACTCATTTGTAACGATATTTTGCTCAAGAGTTTCAGTTGTTTTTTTAGTCGATGGAATGACGAAGACTTAATTCATATCCTTAATGTAATTGTTAACGGTAAATATGTATCACTTGAAGACATTTTGAAATTAATGAGAGTCAATGACAAGGATAAAAAAAAATTAAAATCGAGTAGAAGCAGAGCATCTCTGCTTGTATCTAGTGCATTCTACTTTATCTGCTATCATATTTCACTTATAACCCTCTTTTACATTTTATCGACTTGTTATTTTTAACTTATTACCTATGACGGAGAAAAAATCTTTATGATCATCAACTGAAGATATGTTTGGTAAAGTTGGCGAGTCTTTGGACTGAGGACCAGGAAGATGAACATTAACGTTTTTAATTGGAAACTTGCAGCACTAAGACAATTATTAAGGAAAATTGTGTCATCATATATGAGGTTTGATAAGAGTTAATTAGACCTCCTAGTATAATTAGAAATGTTGTTAATAAAGTTACTGGAAACAGCATGTAAGAACCTTCCTTATAGTTATAGCAAATTTGCCAACTATGTTTTTTATGCAGTGGTGTGCATGTTGTTCATATAAGAATGCGATGTAATAATCAAATCTGTAAAACTGCTGACCATTTCTATTTTTGCATTGTTATTTGTATTTATAACTTACACAGAAGTGTGACTAGAACGTTAATGTTGGGGTGGTGTGTACTTATATATTCCATTGTGCCCGACTTTTTTTGCTAATTCATTTTCAAAAAAAATCAGTAGAGCAAAACTAAATATATGATATACCCCTACAACTCACGTTTTAGTTACGCCTCTGAACTTACTACAATATTTCGTTAAATTTGTTTTAGTTTACACATGCATGATCATCCTACATATAATAAAAGTTAAATATTTCATGTTTACTTAGTTTGAGCAGTCATCTTCCCACTGGTCATTTATTCAATGTTCGTAAGTGATGGTTTACTGAGTGTCTGGATGTATATCAAAAGGTAAATAACACTTTGTATGGTTTGTTATACAAATTGGTGTTCATTTTTAACTTGACATAGAACTTAATCCATCTGATGTTAGATGGTTTCTGATACAATTTAAAATGTATCTACGTTGCATTCTCTATAGAAATACAAGAAAGACATAACGGCTGAACAATATCAAGTAAGACAAGAACACTTTATTAAATAAAAACAGTTCATTTGGTAAAATATTGCTTTGTGACGATAATCGAACACCTGCTATGTTCAGGTGGGATTACCTACATTATTTGAGCCTTTGTGATCCCCCTCTTCATCGTGGTTCTTAAACTGCACTGCTTTTTGATGACAACTAAGTTTTTAATACGACGATGTATTAATCTCTTCTTTAACTCAACACTTGCAATCTTGGCCGAACACAACATTTACGCATGGTAGACGATTCGCGAATCTCCTTCTTAATCCTTCGACATAACAAATTTTGATTAGCTTTCAGAAAGATAATTCAAGTTGTTGTGTTTTTTTCAACATGTATGCATGTTTCACAAAAAAAATGTATCGTCTACCGGGACTGAAGTGGCAATTGAACTTTACCATGGAATAAAAAAGCAAAGTTGTGAATACAATCTTCAACGATGTTGAACGATAAAATTGCGTCAATGCAACAATACTGCACACGCAAAGAAGTTATGTTATATTGCAGCACGTTATATTCAGAGAAAAATTTCACTTGGATCAACTGTGCAGTCACTGTGAGTGCAGTGTGCAATGTTAAAAAAGGGAACAGTTCTAAATGTGGAAGGGAGGAAAAATCTAACTTATTAAAGTTATTAGTAGTTTTTAATACCCAATGGGAATCAAGCTTTAGAAAGTTTGTTTCCACTAGCTGAAAATTTTGTACATTTTGCCAAAAAACTAAGCATAGTTTGTTGTTCAATATTGCTTGGATTCTTGTTATTTTTCTAGTGTTACATGGCTGCTTGAAGCATATGGAGTTGCTGGTCCGAACAAGAAGTTGGCATTCCACTATTCAACTTGGCTTCAATTCTTTCCGTTTTTCTGGTGTTACTTGGGTACTTAGATCGTATGGATTTCCTAAACGTATGTAAAGTTTTGATTCTCGTTTATGATACATAGCGTTCCCAAGTCGCAATTGGGTATTGTTTCTAAGTTTGTAAGAGATTTTTCGATCAAAATTTTATCTGTTGTCAACATTTCTAATTAAGTTCTTCCTGAAAATGAATTTCTGTCTGCAGAAACTGATCATTCAGTATTATCAACTTGCTGCTTCATCCACAAAAACGCTAAACGATCATACAAGGCAGCTGCATGGCAGTTTTGAATATCAATGTTTTATTGAATTTTCAATTTCAGGGAATTTGATTGGTAGTCTTGACGGTCGTTATGGATTTAGCTGCAATTATTGGCTCATAGATCCTGCCAATAGAGATCTTATCTCGTTTGAGAGGAAGAAAGTTTTAGAGAAAAGTCGCATTAAAAAGTAAGTTTCCCAGTTAAATCGCAACATTAATTGTAATTTTGAACATTTTTAGAAAAATTCAAAATACATCAGTGACACAATAAAATTGTAGTGAGCCTGTGGGAACATAAAATACTTGCGATTTGATATCATTTATATTGGTTTGTTAGTTTGATATGACAAAACAGAACATACGTGAGTGTCTACACTGTAGTGACAAAACAAAACATACGTGAGTGTCTACACTGTAGTGACAAAACAGAACATACGTGAGTGTCTACACTGTAGTGACAAAACAGAACATACGTGAGTGTCTACACTGTAGTGACAAAACAGAACATGCGTGAGTGTCTACACTGTAGTGACAAAACAGAACATACGTGAGTGTCTACACTGTAGTGACAAAACAGAACATACGTGAGTGTCTACACTGTAGTGACAAAACAGAACATACGTGAGTGTCTACACTGTAGTGACAAAACAGAACATACGTGAGTGTCTACACTGTAGTGACAAAACAGAACATACGTGAGTGTCTACACTGTAGTGACAAAACAGAACATACGTGAGTGTCTACACTGTAGTGACAAAACAAACATACGTGAGTGTCTACACTGTAGTGACAAAACAGAACATACGTGAGTGTCTACACTGTAGTGACAAAAAGAACATACGTGAGTGTCTACACTGTAGTGACAAAACAGAACATACGTGAGTGTCTACACTGTAGTGACAAAACAGAACATACGTGAGTGTCTACACTGTAGTGACAAAACAGAACATACGTGAGTGTCTACACTGTAGTGACAAAACAGAACATACGTGAGTGTCTACACTGTAGTGACAAAACAGAACATACGTGAGTGTCTACACTGTAGTGACAAAAAGAACATACGTGAGTGTCTACACTGTAGTGACAAAACAGAACATACGTGAGTGTCTACACTGTAGTGACAAAACAGAACATACGTGAGTGTCTACACTGTAGTGACAAAACAGAACATACGTGAGTGTCTACACTGTAGTGACAAAACAGAACATACGTGAGTGTCTACACTGTAGTGACAAAAC